AACTCACCAAGCTTCCCAGCACAGGTGGGCAAGGAGCTCCTCTTCAAAGAGTGGCTATAGAACTATTTAGGATTCAACACTACTTGGTGTCACAACCGCTTAAAACATACACCAAACGCCGTCTCTGGGACGGAAAGACTTAACCCTTGAATTAGAGCAGAAAACATCATGGTTCTCCAAGGAGGAGGTAAAAATGGCTGGAGTAGTAGACCTAAGAAATCTAAGTAGACTATAAATTTGATCATTCACATATATATATATATATATATGTATGTATGTATTCATATATATATACACACACATATTGATTATTGTATTTATTATGTATGTGTATATACTTATTACATATAATCAATATACTTAACTATCACATACTAGGATATTAATATTTTATATTATGAAACATACAATATTATAACTGTTAAAAGGTTGAAGAAAATAGCAACAAATGGAAATTCTAAGATTCTTCCTCTACCTGAGTAAACCATTTTGTGCTCCTATTTTTCAGACCAAACCTTTTAGACAATTAGGGACTTTGGAATCTATGAGACAAGATATGTGCAACTTTGACTTCAATAGTTTGAATTCAGGTTTCTGCTTCTACAATTTGTGGACATTCTGTCACTTCATGACTTCTTCAACCCTTTATCCAATTCCACATTTCCTGAGGTTCCGATGACCACTCCTGCTTTGATGTCATTCTTGATTTTTGTTCTCTTCTATGGAGGTAGAAATGCCAGAATCTGACCATGGTCTTTGATTTGTTCTATACTATTTGCTTAGGTAATCACATACACTTAAAAAATCTGACTTCCAATTTCATGCAGGTGGCACTGGAGAGAAGGCACTGGAGATCTTCAGTCTGCATCTGAGTACTGTTCAGTGCTTACATGAGAAGAGATTACCTGAAACTAGAGAAAGACCACCCAAGAAGATTAGGGGAAACAATCCCCAGTACTCACACAGGGCTGGGAATAGTTCATGTTCCCACAAGCCAGAGTAGAAAACCTCTTAACTCATGAGTCATCAGATTTTTTAGAAATGTTTTGCTCTGTATTGGTAACAAATTAAGCCTAAACTCATTATTCACAATGGCTAAGACTTGGAAACGACCTAAGCGCCCATCAAGTGCCCACGAATGGATGAAGAAGATGTGGTATATATACACAATGGAATACTACTCAGCCATTACAAAAGATGAAATCTTGCCATTTGTGACAACATGGATGGATCTTGAAGGTGTTATGCTAAGCAAAATAAGTCAGAGGGAGAAAGTCAAATACAATATGATCTCACTCATAAATAGAAGATAAAACCAACACAACAAACACATAGACACAGAGATTAGTGGTTACCAGAGAGGAAGGAGGGAGGAACGAGGGTAAAAAGGGTGAGTAGGCATATGTGTATGCTGATGGATGGTAATTAGTCTTTGGGTGGTGAACATGATGTAATCTACACAGAAATAGAAATATAATGATGTAGACCTGAAATTTATATAAAGTTATAAACCGTTACTTCAATAAAAAAAATTAAGGCTATGCTAAAAGCTGTTCTTTTTTAGTCATGACAACAAAGCCTAAAAGCAAAACTTGAAAGGATCAAACTATTTCCAACAACTTAACCATGTCCCAGAACAAAGCTCAAGAATATATATAAGAATACAGAAGTACCCAGTACCCAAAAGTAAAATTCAACATTTCTGGTAGTCAATAAAATTAATAGAAAAATATATATAATAAGAAAAATCTATAAAAACCAATAAAAAAGCATAGATGATAAAATTAGCATACAAAGATATCAAAAATTATAAATGTATTTTGTATGTTCAAGAGGCTAGAGGAAAGATTTATCATGTTTAAGAGGTTTCAGAAGATATAAAAAATACCGAATCAAACTTTCAGAGATGAAAATTACAATATTTGAAATGAAACAATAAAAATATACACATTTATCTATGCAAATTACAATCTGAGATGAAAATTACAAGATTTGAGGTGAAAATTACAATAGAGGGAAATAGGTGCAACAGTGATGCAGGAGAATCCTAAGCAAAACACCACATAAAATAATTAATTCTGGTTATTTCTAATGTGTTTGATAAAATGTCAACAAGAGCTTCCCTTCCTTGTTTTGTTCATCTGTATTCTAACTCTGTCATTTGACCATTTCCAAGCTATCAACAGCTGTCCTAGAATTAAATGGATGTCTGGGTCAGTCAGGGATCCATGTAGAGCATTGTTTGGGGAACTTACAATTACTCAGGCTCCAGAAAATAGAGAACTAGAGTGCACGAATGATTGGAATTTTTGTAATTAAATTTGAATTAGTGCAAACACGTTTTCTGTATACTCTTGTATTTCTGTAATGGTAAAACTTCAAGTCTAAAAATAGTATGCATATATTCTCATGAGTGCTATGCTCCATCTAAGCACACAGTATTGATATGAGATAGGAAATAGCTTTATTCACAGATAGTCAAAGGAGAGTTAACAGTGCATACTGTTTATTAGCTGGTAACGGAGTTCATATACTGTTAGACTTCTGTGTGGGACAAAAATCACTCTCTGTGGGAGGGCATGAGTATCACCTGAAGGGCAAGGTCATTCATGCACCAAACACAGGGACAAGTCATATCTTGCAGTCTGGAAATACTTACTTAATCCGTTATACTATATTCAATTTACTAAATCACAATGATAGATAAACAATTAGTTTCCAGAATGTGCTGTGGAACAAATATCTACAAAATCTCAGTGGCATACAACAATAAAAATGTGTCTCTCATATATCTGGAGATTGGCTGAGATGACTCTGTTGATCTCAACAGTATTTGCTTATGCATCTGCAGGTCAGCTGGAGATCTGTTGATCCAAGCTGTGCTTGGCTATGAGGCTCTGCGGCTCTGCTTCAAGCTGTAAGTTGATCAGGCAGCTCTGCTCCACATTTCCTCATCTTCCTTGGACCAGTGGGCTAGGGCACATTCTCAGGAGCAGGAGAGTCAGAAGACAAGCCCCACTGCACAAGCAAATTTCAAGCCTCTGCTTGTACGACATCTGTTAATACCCCATTGACCAAAGTGGTGCAGATGGCCATCCCAACAGTCAATGTGTAGGGAAGTATACTCTGGGAAAATGAATAGTTTTGAACAATAATCTGTCACACATAATGCCCTATCTCTACTGAGGATAACAAGACAAGAGTTTGGGAAGTCTCAGGGAACAGAGTCAGAGGCCCTTGGTCCATACCACTTCCTTCCTTACTGTCCAAATAACCCACCTCAGTGTCTGGAAGGACTGAGACACTTGGGCTCTGACCAGAGACCCACTGAGACCTCCACTCTCTGTATATATCTGTGAGGCAAGCCGTGGCACAACATGGGCCTGGAGCTAGAGATGCTTTTTCAGAGCCTTTCAGGTTTCTTTGTTCTTTTCTTAGAACTGGAGAAACTCCTTTTAATTACTATCAAGGAGACAAAAGGGTCACACAAAAAAAAATAGAAGAACAAGTTTGTACGAGTAGACCTTCCTGAAAAAGTGTATATGAGGTCTTCTTTAAAAAAGAACTGACTAAAGGAGTGTTCATTTATGAGAGTTTGCATAAGGAGACAAAAGTAGAAAGATAAGTGAAATCTAGTATCACTTTTAGGATGTACTGGAAGAAGAAATAGTGGCTTTGCCTTATTTTTCTTTAAATACTCAGAGTCTTAAACTGTCATGAGCTGGATTGCAAGGAAGAGCTCACAACTCCAGCAATCAGCTTTCCCTGTGTTATGCTATGAAACAACTCCCAAATCTCAGTGGTTTAGTATAAAAACAACAAAATCATCCTTGCTCATGTTATATGAACGCTGTGGGTCAGCTATGGCTATACTCCAGGCTGTGAGTCAGATTCATATCTCCTCCTTCTATCTTTTCCATCATGGGTCTAGGTTGAAGGAAAAACTGATTGGGGATATGCTCATTCTTGTAGCAGAGGTGTAAAGTGAGAGAGACCGAGCCAAGATGCACAAACACATTTTGAAGTTCCTGATTATTGCGGCACATTTCAAGACCACTCAAGTTCCACTGACCAAAGAAAGTCACATGGCAAGATTTAACATTCCTAGAGTAAGGAAATACTCCTCCCCTCATAGAGGAACAGGAGAGTAAAAATCTGAACAATAACACAGTTTACCACAACTATATAGTGTAACTATTTTCTTTATCTTCAGAAGTCTCAACTTTAAGAAGGAAGGGCGTTAATTAATCTTTCCACAGACCATAGCTCAAAGATGGTATTCAGCTCCTCTATTCATTCATTCAATAAATATTACTAAGGTTTTTTTGGAGATAAAAGGTGTATGCTTGTGAAAAGTTAGTTACATGACAAAAAGCTATATAAAAGGATGTTAGAAGACTTCTTTGCTAAGTGTTTAATAAAGGAATTAGCCATTAGTATGGGTCAGACAGAAATTGACAATAAAACAAATAAGTCTCCTTAGAAGTGGGGCTGTCCAACTGTAGGGTCAATAACATTGGATGGTACTAGGCTAAAAAAAGTGGCAGAGGCTGGAACTCACTTATCAGAAAAGACATGGAGGTAATTTCAGTAATAGATGAGGTGCTGGCCTTTGGGTCACAAAATTTGTGACTCAACTCCTCATTCATGGTCTGAATGAAGAGTTAACCAAAATTTCAGCTTCTTGTGCCAATCTCAGGTGATATTCCTCCTGTCTTTCACCTCAATGACAATAGCACTTTGAAAGGTTCCTTGTTGTCCTTAATCAAGTGATAAGTCTATGAGGATAAGAAGGTCAAACCTCTGCTACCAGACAGACAACATGGACATATCTGGTTTGATCTGACTGGTGGATCTGTGAGGAATGGGACTTCATCTTCCTTGTCATGTTGGAGAATTGCCAAACATGGAGACTCTGCAATTTTCCTACTTGAGATTTTACTTCTCCACCTCAATCCAGCATCCACTCAGTATTGATGGGTAAGGAAAAAAGTGTGCATCTACACCTTCTTTCTCTGAAATAGACTGAGCACATGATCACGAATCTGCTTGGTCTTGACACCATAGATGAGAGGATTGACCATGGGTGGGAAAAGAAGATAGAAGATAGCAAGGAGAATGTGTACATGAGGGGCAGCCCGGCGAGCCACACGGTGCATGACTGAGGAGATGACCACAGGTGTGTAGGTAGACAAGATGGCACCTATGTGAGACACACATGTTCCAAATGCCTTGTAGCGGGCCTCCTGAGAGGCAAGCTGTAGAACTGCTCGAAGGATGAAGATATAAGACAGGATAACAAAAAGCAAGTCCAACACCACTATAAACATGGCCACAGCAATGCCATAGATATTGTTGAAGCGAGTGTCCCCACAAGCCAGCCTTACCACTGCCGTGTGCTCACAATAGCAGTGGGCAATCACGGGGCCCCGGCAGTAGTGGAAGCGTCTGAGCAGAAAGGGGAGTGGAGTCATTAGTGTCACAGCCCGAGTCACAGTAACCATGCCAATTTTGATGATAAGGGGCCTAGTTAGGATCGTGGTGTAGTGCAGTGGCTTGCAGATGGCCACGTAGCGGTCAAAGGCCATGGCCAGCAGCACTGCTGACTCCATGATAGAGAAGGAATGGAGAAAGAACATCTGGACCAGACAGGCATAGAAGTTGATCTCGCAATCTCTGAACCAAAAAATAGCCAGCATTTTGGGAAGTGTTGTAGAAGAGAGGACTAGATCAATGGCTGCCAACATGGCCAAAAAGAGGTACATGGGCTCATGGAGGGCTGCATCAGCCCGGATAATGAAGAGAAGGGTGCAGTTGCCTAGCAGGGCCAGAGTATAGGCAAAGCAGAAGGGAATGGAGATCCAGACATGTAGGTGCTCCAAACCTGGAATTCCTACCAACAAGAAGGCGGCTGGATGGATTGCGGTGATATTGGAGGCTGACATGGCTCCTGGAAATTCTCGTCCTCTTGTCTACTTCCACACGACCCTTCCAGAGAGTATCAAATGTCTGCAGAATTACAGTGCTCAAGTTCAAGCTCTGATCATTCACATGAAAATATTATCCATTGATCTCATTTCTAGACCTTAAAAGAAATTAGAAAATAATCCTATAAAGAGAACGGATTATTGGTTCCCAGTGGAGAAGGGGTTGGGGGGTTGGTAAAAGAGGTAAAGGGGCACATATATATGGTGACAGATAAACATTAGACTATTGGTGGTGAGAACAACTCAGTCTATACAGAAACTGAAATAATGTACACCTGAAATTACACGTTATAAACCATTATGACCTCAAGAAAATAATTGAAAGAAAATAATCCTAATATGCATTGTGAAACATTATACATAGTTTCTACCCTCAAGGTACTTATAAAACCATTTGGTAATCAGGACATTAAATAGCAAAAGAGCTAGCATCCTACAACAAGATTCATAAAGTAATTGAGGGGAGGAACAGCTTTCTGTGGTCTTTGTGTGGCCAAGAACAGATTTATAAAGGATGTAGAGCCCTGCTTAATTCAAATCTTACCCAAAAACATTTACTGTCTTCCTATTGCCTCCCAACTCAAACTGTACTCCCAATTATGAAAGAGGAGTCTCTGTCCTGAAAAGTTAAGCTAGGCTGTATGTATAAAAAGTAACCAAGCCTAGCACCTTCTAATTCTTCTTCCCTCCAAGTTCTGTAGATTTTCGCTAACAGGGGTTCCACAGGCCCTTATTTGACACTCAGAAATCTTGCCATAAAGACCCACATCCAGCTAACTTGAGAACCTGAGAAGTCCTATTGTTCTCTTTTAGTTTGACTTCCATCTCTACACACTTCTACCTTCACTTACTTTCTTTTCTAGCATTCATGACATTCAGAAGAAAAGATGCTCCATTCCCACCTTTTTGCAAGACTGACCTCTGAACTTCACACCATTCTTTTTCCTTCTGGGATCCTTTACCTTTCTACCTCATTTTTTCCCCTTTCATCATTTCCTTTGAAAATGCTTAATCATTTGTTTCCCAAAATTTTGACCTGTGCTTCCTTCTCTTTTTTCAGTTCCTACCTAAAAAGTTTGTTCTGAGGATTGACAAAATTTCTTTTAAACATTTAGCACAATGGATGAAAGGATAAAGAAAATGTGGTATGTATACTCAATAGAATATTATTAAGCCATAAAAAAGAAGGAAATCCTGCCATTTGTGACAACATGGATGGACCTTGAGGGCATTATGCTAGTAAAATAAGTCAGACAGAGAGAAAATAATACATGGACTCACTTATATGTGGAATCTAAAAAAAACTGAACTCATAGAAACAGATTGGAGGTTGCCAGAGTTTGGGGTGGGGGAAATGGGTGAAGCCAGGCCATGAGTACAAACTTCCAGTTATAAGATAAATAAGTCCTGGGGATGTAACGTATAGCTGGGTGATTATAGTTAACAATACTATATTGTATTTTTTCCCAGTAATTTTATTCAGATCATAATGGTTTACAGCATTGTATAATTTTGGGTGTATGTTATTGTTTATCAATTTCTGAATAGACTTCATTGTGCTTACCACCTGCAGTTTAATTTTTGTCTTTCACCCTACATCTGTGCCCCCTTACCCCTTTTGTCCACCTCCCAACCCCCTTCCCCTCTGGTAACCACTAGTCTGTTCTCTTTATTCATGTATTTGTTATCTTCCACATATGAGTGAAATCATGCAGTATTTGTCTTTCTCTGTCTGGCTTATTTCACCTAACATAATACTCTCAAGGTCCGTCCACGTTGTTGCAAATGGGATGATTTTATCTTGTTTATGGCTGAGTAGTATTCCATTGTTTATATATACCATGTCTTCTTTATCCATTCATCCATAGAAGGGCATTTGGCTTACTTTCAGATCTTGGCTATTGTGAATAATGCTTCAATGAACATAGGGGGTGTTGTAAGTCTCTTTGGATCATTGTAAATTGCATAAAAGTCACTGAAAGAGTAGATCTTAAGATTCTCATCTCCAGAAAAAAAAAAATTGTAACTGTGTGAGGTGACGAGTGTTAATCTTGTTGTACGTAATCATTTTGCAATATATACTTGTACCAAAACAAGTTGTACACTTTAATGAAATGTTATTGTTGATTATAGCAAAAAAACTGGGGAAAAAATTTAATTTTTAAATTAAAAAAACTTAGCTCAAATCTAGAACATTAAAAAGTGCTCAGTAAATATGAGCACTTTTTTGAAATGAGAAAACTAAAGGTTAAGTTACTTACTGATAATCACATCATTGGTAAATATCAAAGATTAAACTTGAACTTTGAAAATTCTGGTTTCCTGCCTTCAAATCCAATGTCTTAAATCACAATACTCTTCTGCCTCTACCTTGTTGTTCCACAAACAGTTAAAATCAAGCATGTTCAAGTTAAATAAAGCTCTAACTGATTACCATGGTATAGGGAAAAGCTTTAGAATCGAAAGACTTGGGCTGAAGTAATGACTATATCATCAGCCTACCAGCACAAACTGACATTAATCACTGATACTTTTAAAGTGTGGCTTCCTCGCCTATATCTAAAGGCAATAACTATACCTCCCACGGCCACCTTTATTGAGTTTTATTGTGAGGAAAGATGAAATCACATGAGAATAGATCTTGAAAACTGGAAAGCCCTGGACAAATGCTATTTGTATACATTACTGTCTTCCTCCCCCTGCACAGATCTGCCCCCTTTTCTAAAATGTTTATCTTGATTGATATCAGCACAATCCTGTGTTCCTTGACTTTATATCTTCCTCCTCTAACACCCCTTAGTTCTGTTCCCCTTCACAACACAACTTGTTTAATAATGTCACTATTCAATCTCTACTTCCTCCCGTCTCGTTTCCAATCCGGCTTCCATATCCACTACTCCCCTAACACTGATCTCGTCATCCCTTCCTCCTTCCCTCACTCTCTCCTTCTTTTCTTCTTTTAATCCCTTAATTCCCTTTTATTCTCATTTCTCTAGGCATTCTCCTTGCTTCCTCCTGGGTTTGCTTTTTTTTTTTTTTTTTTTTTTTGACCATCTCTGTTCAGGGAATTCTCAAACATATTGCTTCTACTCTGAGTTCCATTGCCTGTTGGACATCTCCGCTTAGATCTTCCACAGTCATCTCAAACAAAATACAGCAAAAAACAGAAACCTTATCCCCTCACAAACTGTCCTGCTCACGTCTCGTCCAGCTCAGAACACATCCTGCCATCCCTGCTGTAGCAATGTCAGAAACCCAGGGATATGATCCCTGATTTAATACCTTCTTCTTCCTTCATATCAGTTCATTAGCAAATCCTATCAATATGAAAAATGTGTTTCACTCCCTACTCTTTTCCCTTTCACCTGCCAACAGTCTTATTTAAATAACCATTATCTTTCATCCAAAAGTCTCCTATCTGGTCTCTGTGGTCTGAATCTTGGGCCTCTATAATCCATCTTCTGTAGTGTAGTCAGAGACCATTAAAAAAAGGCAAATTTTTATTATGCCAGGCCTTTCCTAAAACCATCATGGAATTACCATTGCACTGAGGATGGAATCCATGCTCCTAACCTTGGTTTACAAGTCCCTGCATGATCTAGTCCCTACTCACTTGTCAGCCTCACCCACTTCTTCTCCTTTCTTCATTATGCTCCAGTCATACAGCCTTCAGCCAGATGCTAGAGCTCCTAGAGCTCTTTCTCAGCCAACAATGATGCCCTTGACCCTGCCCCTGAATTCTCATACTGTTCTCCTCTCTATGCCCTTTGTGTCTTCCCAAATTTATATCATCTCTTGCCTGTGTCACTAGGAAGACCTTCTTTTCAGTTTTCCACTCCCGCTCAATGTATCCACTGCACAGTGACAGACCACATACGTTATTTCCCCCACTGATAACCACTTTTAAGATCTCACAGCTACAAGAAAAATAAAAACCACCCAATATGCTTACAAACTTGTTCTTGCCTAAACTATCAGCCTTATCTCTTAACATTCACCTAAATATTCATCCTAGGTTCAGCCACATTGGATTATTCGCCACTTCCTGAAACAGTCAGGCTTGTAGCTCATACTATTTAGCTAGTATGCTTTCCCCTGCCTCCTTCCGTACCTGACCGTGATCCTGCCCACCTTCTTAGTGAAGTTTCTCAGGCTCCTCCAGGCAGATTTTCTCAGTGTTTTCTCATTAATGTGCTGAATTAAATAAGGAGAGTATGATACGTATTGCCAAGGCACATGTCTGTATATTCACCAAACTATGAGTACTGTTAGTACAAGCACGGTGAGTTACTCATTTCTATATTCACAGACTCTACTGAACATGGTTGGTGCTCAAAAGTGCTTTTTAAATGGATGCGTGAATGACTCCCTTCCTGGAGAAACTTTGTCCTCTTCTGCTGTTGTACAATATACCACCATATGATCAAACTGAGATTTACTAGGTATCTCTCAACTTTAAGCACCTCCACAGATGGAAATGCTATGAAATCTTCCATCAGTTTTGGTTACTTGGATCAGAACAAAAGCCGTCTTCTTATTAGGAACTTCTCCATGTCTAATGTACATCCATGCATTTTCTCCAGGACTTAACATTGGGACAGACAACCTGGAAGCCCCATGACAACAGGGCTGATGTTTATATTTACTGCCACTATATCTATGGCCCCCATATAGGAACTTGCTAAATATCTCTTGAAAGAATGAAAGAATATGCCTGTTGTTACCCTTATCCTAAGTGAATGTGCTGCTCCAATTCCAAACAGGTCTCTCCTCTTCCCTGAGTAGCCCTGTCGCACTTACTTCCTATGTGCTCCTGCTGAACGTCACTGGCCTCCAGCTTATTTGCCCCCACACCTCAATCTCACAGCTTTCCTGTTCTGTTTGAAATGCCTAATAATCCATCAACCTAGCCTCTTTCCAGGTTCAAAACTATACTCTAGTTCCAGTCACAATCCAAC